GATAGACAGCCAGTGATTAAGAATATTTGTTTAGACATAGAGAATCTAGGTAGCAACATAAGGAATAACATAGAAAATGTAATTACAAGGAAAATACAACTGAGGGCATTTTCAGTTAAAGAAAACTTAAAATTATTTTAGGCACAGAACTTGCTCCAACTCAGGAGTGATGCAGAACTTTACTGGATCTCCCTGCTTACAACAGCCTATAAATATTTCATCCTTAGGGCCCGGCATGGTAGCCTAGTGGATAAAGTCCTTGTTTTGCGCCAGTTCATATCCTGGTTGCTCTACTTCCCTTCCAGTTCCTTCCTGTGATCAGCTTAACTCCGTTGCGTCCACTTGGGGAGTGAACCAGCAGATGATCTGTCTCTCCTTCTCTCTGTAAAACTTATTTTCCAATAACAATCAAAGAAAATCTTAAAAAAAATCCCATCCTTAGGCGGTGGGATTGTGATGTTATCGTGATCCTAGCCAACCTATCAAAGGTTGGCTATCAAAGGCATAGTTTACTCCCCCTCATCCAATGGAATTTAATTTCTCTTAAGACACACATTGAGTAGAAGTGCTGATCTCCTATCAAAAGAGAAGCAGATACCATTAGTAAAAAATATTTGCAAGAATATTGATCTTAAAATACAGAGCTCAAAGTCATTAGATCTAGTTCCTCTAGAGGACACTTTAGCCTTCTGAGCATGCTAGTAAGGATGTTAAACCTTTTTTTTTTTTTATTGTTAATAACATTGTATTATGTGAAGCAGTTTTACAGGCACTGGGATCCCCCCCCACCAGGATGTTAAACCTTAAAATAGCTTTCTGACAACTCCTTATCTATTTGATGGTTAATTAAAAATATATATATTTCTACCCGATTTTCTTGGATAACCTACAAACCTCTATTGGCAAAAAGAGAAGTCTTTTACTTCTTAGACCGAATTGATTTCTCAAAAGAAAGCAACCCCCTGTTGTAATTGTACCCTTACCTGTTGATCTTGGCACCCTATTCTCTATGACAAAAGTTTCATCCATGTGACGAGGCAGCAGGATTCAATCACTCTGCTTTTTTGCTTTTTCCTCCGCCTCTTCACTTACTGAAGTCACAAATCTGATAGGACCAAGAATGCTTCCCATCCTTTCAGTTGTTCAACTGGGATCTCTGCTCACAAAAGGCATTAGGGATGGACACTTCTGCCTTTCTCATGTGACATGGAAGGGGCATCAACGAGGTGATTATTTTTGTTTCATTTAGGTTTACAGAGCCTATAGCATGTGTCACTTTTTTTAAAAAAAGATTCATTTATTCTTATTGGAAAGTCAGATATATAGAGAGGAGGAGAGACAGAGAGGAAGGTCTTCCGTCCACTGATTCACCCTCCAAGTGGCTGCAATGGCTGGAGCTACACCAATACAAAGCCAGGAGCCTGGAGCCTCTTATGGGTCTCCCATGTGGGTGCAGCATCCCAAGACTTCGGGCCTTCTTTGACTGCTTTCCCAGGCCACAAGCAGGGAGTTGGATGGGAAGCGGGGCTGCTGGGATTAGAACTGGTGCCCATACGAGATCCTGGTGCATGCAAGGCAAGGATTTAATTTGCAAGGTTACAGCGCCAGGCCTGACATGTGTCATTTTCACATGCATTATATAGCTTAACCCTCAAAATAACCATGGGAGCTAGATATTTTTAGACTCTATTTATACATGAGAAAATCAAGAGTGAAAGTGTGATTTGATTGCCCAAGAACTCACAGGAAGCAACAGAACTAGAATTCTTTCATGAATCTTCTGACACCAATACCTTGTTCTTTTCTCTGTTCTATGTTATTTACTCGTAATTAACTGTGCCAAAAGAGAATGGAAAAAAACAACTCCTACATGCCATATAACCTTACACATTGTAAATCTGCAAGTTTGTATCTTGTCTTGAACATCAAAACAGAATTTGTGCCTGCCATTTTCCAAAGAACTTGCAAAGCAATAGAATAACCCATTCTTTAAACAAAACTGCAAACAGCCAATGTACCTTCAAGCTCTATTTATCTAAGGCACTCGGGAATTGACTAAAAATAATGAAAACTGGCTATCAGCTTGAAGCTGGTGTCTGGCTGCAGGTCATATGGGTCTTCACTCAGACCTGTCTGGCAGTAGCATATTTGTGCTATGATACTTAGTGACAGTCAGAAATGGAGGGACACGTTTGAACTCCCAAGGAGAGAACCCATGGAATGAAATGTGCAACTTTTTGAAATTGGATATCATCTGTGATAATCATTGAAGCCCCCACTCTGTGCCAGACAAGACCAAGCACTCTACACACATTACCCAACACCTGTTAGGTAGATACCTTACTTCCAAAGAATGGGAGAACAGGGTTGGGTAACTTTGCTTCCACTCAGTTAGTAGAGAGCAAAGCCAGAATTTGTCCCTTAATAGTTAAGCCACAAAGTCTGAACTCTTAACCACTAGGCTATACTGCATCTCTGAAACAGAACATAAACTATTAACTGATTTAATTAAACACACCAGGACTTTTTGTTGAACTGCATTGTATCTTACTACACATAGACAGCCATTGGAAAGTTGGCCATCCTGTTGCATGTAAACTATAATACAAAACTCACACATGCCACACATATCATGGCACAGGGGATTAAACCTGTACCCATGACAGCAGTATGCTATATGAGCTTGCCAACAGTTTGAGTCCCAGCTGCTCCTCTTCCTATCCTGCTCATGTGTCTAGGAAAGCAGCAGAAGTTGGCACAAGTAACTGGGGCCCTGCCACCCATGTGGGAGACCCAGATGGAATTTTAGGCTTTTGGCTTCAGACTGGCCCAGCCACGGCCATTGAGAACCTATAAACCAGTGGATAGAGGAGCTCTCCCTTCCTGTGTTTCCTTGCCTCTCTGTACCTCTGCCTTTCAAATAAGGAAAAAAAAATTTTTTTAATCTCCCTCAAGACCAAATTGCAGACTAATACAAAAATGAGACACAATTCAAAACCATAATGCTGTTTCCTGGAAGGTTCACACAGAATCCCTGCAACAATTTTCAGCTTAGGATCAGGTCACAGACACTGTTTAACATGTCTTCACTATTTGCTGGCCACTGTTGGCGGCCCAAGGCCTGCCCAGCCTGCCTCTCATGCCAAGCATGACACAGAGTAGTGTACTTCCCTGCCTTCCACAGTGCACCACGGGACTCTGCCCCCACCAGCTCTATCTGATCCTGCCCACGATCTGCACTGGCATCCTGCCATTCCTTACAGTTGAAAATGCTAAAGGCTTGTAGTTTAGTGTTTCCACAGTGTGCCAGATACTGTGTAGTGAGCGTGGGGGATGGTTCAATGCTCCCAGCCCATCCTAAATTCTTATCTTCTAAAAATGGAGCCGCCTGGTTTAGAAAGTGGATGCTTTAAGAAAGTAAATTCTTAACAACTCGAATCTTTTTCTAGGATACACATTAAAATGAGCCTCTGGAATGGGAATAAGACAGAAAAACATCAGCAAAGTCTCAGACTCGTGGGACCAGAGCAAGACTAGGATGGCAAGATGGGTGTGAAGGAGATGGGTAAACTGTAAAGTCTTTAGGAGAGCATCACTGAATGGGGCTGAGCAGCCCCTTCACCATGTCTAAACCAATGAGTCTTAAATGTTAACAAGGCACTGGATCCATCAGCAGGGCGTGCCAGAGCAGACTTCAGGGCCTTGATGAGTGTCTGAGCACCCACCACTCCCCACTGTCAATCCCCCCCACAATGCTGATGGTCTGCTACAAGGACCATACTCTGAAACCACTAGAGCTGAAGGTGCTCAGTCCATTGCATCCCCCCAGGCAGGTTACAGGCACTCACTTGGACGGGGTGGCCAGCACCTTTCTCCATTACACACTCGATCTTAGCCAAAAGGCCCAGAAGCATACTTTTCTCTATTAAGAAAAAAAATTACTTATGCATTTGAACAGCAGAGTTTCATGCACTGAGAGAGATCTTCCATCCTCTAGCTCACTCCAAATGGTTGACTCTGCTAGGGCCCAGTGGAAGCCAGAGGCCTGGAACTCTATCTTGGTCTCCCGGTAGTTGCAGCTGGTCAACTGCTTGGGCCATCTTCCTCTACCTTCCCAAGTGCAACAGCAGGGACTCCAACTGGCTCTCATGGTATGCCCGCCACTCCTTGTCCATTTGTTGGTAACTCCAACATTTGCATTCTGCCTTCTGATGAGTCAGTAGGTTTTGCCTGAGATTATTATGGGAGCATTGCTTTTCTATTCTACATCTATCCCTCTCCCGCCATTAACGCTGCTTCACAGTTAGCAAGGAATTCTCACCTGGGTATCGTACTTGAGTAACAAATGCTTCCCACATCTGAGTTTAAAGCTAACTAAAGACCTATGAGATTTGTCCTCAAACCCGGGAAGCTCTGAAGGGGCAAGGGCACAGAGCATGCTCTCTCTTTAGCATTTACATCTCTGAACGGGCCTCGCGAGGGGTCCAAGCAGATGGATGTTTCAGCTGTAGGTAATAAGTCGGGGTGGAAAAAAATTAAAACAGTGGTGATCCACGTTCCATGGTGTCCGCTTCCCACCATAAGAAGGGAACTCTAGACAGCCTGGCCTGGGCAGCGTTCCCAGGAACCACGGCGGCCCACGGCAGGCTGCCCCGATCCCCGACTCCCCGCAACCCGGCTCCGCAAGGCCAAGGCACAAGCAGCTACGCCCTCCAGACCTCTCCCGGGGGATCGCACCGCGCAACCAACCCTAAAGACGCCGCCGCGACGCCCCCTCAGCCCTCTGGCCTCCCCATTGGCCGTTTGCAGCTGTCACTCGTCCGGGCCTCGCCTTCGGCTCCCGGGCGGAGGCAGCCGGGCGGGGTAGGTTGCGCGCTCGCCGCGGGCTCGGGCCGCGGCCGCGGCTTTTGCAGCAGGCGGCGCGGCGGGTGCGGCGCGGGGAAGGCGGGCTGGGGGAGCGGCCCCGGCGCTGCGGGCTCCGCTGCCGGCCCATGCGGGCCGGGAGCCGGAGGCAGGGCCGGGGGCCGCTGCCGGCACGGAGGGCGGCGGACACGCACCTGCCCGGCCGGCTGCCCCGAGCCCTGCCTCGCCCAGCGAGCAGCAGTCCGCCAGCCGGGAGGGATGCGCCGCGCCACCCAGCTCCTTTTCGCCCCGCCGTGCCCTAAAGCAGAAAGTTTGGGGGTCTGGGGCTCTCTCCCTCCGCCCTCTCCAATGACTGCCCAAGGTCTCCGGCCGCCCGGCCTCGACTGTGACCCGCCTTCACTCCCCAGTTTGGAATGAGCTCTTTCAACCAGTACCGAAGGCTTCTTTATCGCCCATCGCTTACCCACCTTTAAAAATCAGATTTTTTTTTTAAATTCAAGAAATTGTGATCTTGCGGTCCCCCTGCTTGTGAGTACTTTGTACCCCAGGCCTCGTGTCTGAGTGTCAGAGGGGTGCCGTTTCCCCAAGACGGCGCGTTGGAAGGACACACACCATGAAGAGGTGCAGGTCGGACGAGCTGCAGCAACAGCAGGGAGAGGAGGATGGAGCCGGGCTGGAAGACGCTGCCTGCCACCTGCCGGGTGCGGACCTCCGGCCTGGGGAGACCGCGGGTGCTAACCCTGCTGGTGCACCAAGTTCGGACACGAGCGCTGCAGCGGCGCCCAGGCCGGGTTCCCGGAACAAGCCCCCTGATCTGAAGGTGAGCGCAGCCCCGCCAGCCCCTGGCCAGCCCTGCGGGCGCCGCCGCTTTCCCCATCTCATACAGAAGTGCCCTGACCCGATGGAAGTGGTGGGGAAAGCGAGGCGAAGGCAGAGAGGAGGAGGGGGTGCTGGGCTAAGACCCGAGGGGGCACATCAGGAACCCTGTCTCCATCTGTTTGTTCTCTGTTCTTCAGCCGCCGTTCTAGTGACTCACCCACACGAGTATGTGTGAATAATGTGTGTGAAGTGCTGTTCTCAGACAAAGAGCTGGAGAAATCCGACATGCTAACTAAAAAGTTGGCATGGCTTTCTCTCCTGTAGGATGGCAGCGGGAGGAAGTAACAGCGCAGGAGGCCAAGCAGAGGCCCTTTCATTTCCTTTGCTGGGTTAGCCTCCTGTTGGGATCTTCCGGCGCCTTCGGAGATGGTGCTCAGTTTGTCCATCTGTGAAGGGGGTGTGTGTCTTTCCTGCCGTTAGGTGGAGCCAGAGGTTAAGCTAATGCTTGGAGATCTCTGCCTGTCTGCTGAGCCCACCCCCAGGGTGGAAAACTGACAGGTGGCCCGGCGGATGCTTGAGGCTGGTTCTGGGGCCTCGGTTCAAGTTGCACACACGCTGAGCTGGCAGCCCGACTCTGAAGCCGCAGGAGCTGTTTGCCGGGAGCTGTTTATTTCCCAGCCTAGGGTGGCTGAGACAGTTGGCCAGTTGAATCCGGTCGCTCTGTCAGCCGGGATAAGAATGCACCTCTGCCGCAACTGCTGCAGGAACGGCCGGCTCGGGCTGCCAGAGACAGCTGGCCAGAGGGCTGAGCCAGCTGTCAGCCTCAGGAAGGAACTTAGGTGCCGTAGGGATTGATGCTGCTGCCACCGGAGCAGAGGGTACAGAGTCAGGGCTCAGGAGCCATAAGGACTCCTGTGATGTTTCACAAAGCCTGGGTCCTATAGCAGCAGCCACGGTGGAGCTCGCTAGAATAAGCCAATGACATCCCTCGTTTGGCCGGCCAGGATCAGAGTCAGGAATCAGAGCGAGGTGAGTGTGGGTGCTGTTACCTGTGTGTGTCACCTGTTTTCCTTGGGTGAGGAAGGACAGGGGTCCCTGGCATGCACTTTTTCACGTTGGTGGTCGTTGTTCAGATCAGACCCCTGGCTCTGCTGCTGTCCTAGTTCAGAGCTTCGCGGCAGTTGTGTGTCCAGAGATGAGTTCTGTTCACCCAAGGCGTCTTTGGTGTCTACCCCAACTGACACCCGCCTCCCCAGGGGTCCCCTTCTGTAGGTGTCTGTGCAGAGTTGAGCCTCTTTCTGGCCCGCTCTGGGGGAGACTGGCTGACAAACCCTAATCCTTTTGACCAGAGGGACCCTCAGCTGGAGAACATAAGTAACAGCCTTGAGAACTATCCTACCTCTTGGGTCAGCAGCAGAGACCGCTTGCTCTGTTCATTTTGCCCGGCTGCCTTTCCCTGGGGAGGTGGACTGGTCACCGTGTGGGGGTTGCAGTGTCTTTGTAGATAGATACCTGCCTTAAACTCGTTCGTGTTCCCTCCTCCTGTATCATCTCTGTTTTTCATAACACCCTCATTCTGGTCAGGGGAAGCTAGGGCAACAATATTGCACTTGGTATCAGCTGCTGAACTTCCTCGGACCAGAATTGAGATCAGATGTGAGAAAAAGAAACCTCCCTCATCCACCCCCAAGAAAACATATCCCTGAGGTGGAGCACAGCGCCTTGGCCCCTGGCTGGCAGCAAGAGCCAAAAACAGAGCTGCTGCCAGCCTGGGGGGCACCAGGAGCCAAGCAGAGCTGTGCTGTTTATGCCTCTTGGTTTACCACAACATGTTTACCAAGGGATGCCGACTCCCCACCTAAACAGGAATGGGAGGTCTTGGCAGTTTGATTTGCTATGTGGGTTCAGGCAAATCACTGGACTCTTCTGAACTTTTCTGAGGAAAGGAACCAGGAATATTAGCATGTGTCCAGGCTTGTTTTCCAAGGCTAGTACAGTTTTCCAGTACTCAGAGAATTCTACCTGGTGCTGAAATTGGGTAGAAGGTGGCCCGTTGTTGAATTTGTAGGTAGCCACTGGAAAAGGGCCAAGCTTAATGTCTGCTACCTCACACCTGTATGTGGCCAAGTTGTGGCTGGCTTTTGTTTTCATTCTGAACTATGGAGATAGGAACTTTTGCTTCCTTAGTCCCACTCTTGTTTGCTCACAGCAGCTCCTGGCAGCGCGATGCAAGAAGTACATTGGAGGGAATCACCTGATCAGGGAAGAGGTTGGAATTTCTGCCTTTGCCAAAGAGAGCCGAATGATGGTTAACTAGTGACAGCTGGAGGTTTCAGGCCACCCGGGCCTTCAGCACTGGGGGGACTTCTTACTCCTTACACCTGTGTGACATTCAAAGTGACCTCTGAAGACCCTCCTGTTGCAGGAGGCCAAGCATTCAGTCATACCCACCAGCCACCTGCTGCCTGGATTCCTTGAGTTCATGGCTTGATTTTCTGCACTATCTGATGCTGGGCTGCTGTTGGAGCCCCTGCTTCTTGGGAGGAAAAGCTGAACCACCAAGAATGCAGGTTGATCAGAAGTACATGGAATTCTCCAGCCAGAAAACTCAGCTCCACAGAGAATGGGAGAGGGAGGAGCTTAAGGGACAACTGCAAAGACACGAAGCACATGTTCCTGTTAAAAATACAGCAGGTGGCAGATATTCCTGAGGCCTGGGAGAAGGGGCTGAGTGGAAACAGAAGCTGGTTCTGTCCTAATGTACTGTGGAAGCTGAAGGTGGGGGTATGTGTGTGTGGGGGCGGGGGTTGCCAGTCTCACCAGCCCGCACGCAGAGAGCTGTTCATGAAAGGAAGGGTCTGGAGATGTTAGCCAGAGCCTTCCCCTGGACTCCCTTCCCACCTGCTTCACCTCTGCTTCACCCCTGCTCTACTGCTTCTCCTTCTCTACTGCTTCTCTTTTTTCTTCCAAAAGTCTCCGGAAATACTTTCCCCAGGGATGTCTGAGCCATTTTTTCTTTCCTTGAAGAAGCTTTAAATTTCGTTATTCCCTTCCTGTTCCTAAGCACATAATTTATCTTATTTGTATGAAAGAGATCAATCTCCATTTGCTGATTCAGAGAAAGAGAGAGAGAGAGAGAGAGAGAATGAACCTCATTCCATTGGTTTACTTCTCAAATTCCCAAATGTGCTCAGTATCCAGGTCGGATCAAAGCTGGGAGCTGAAGAGTCAGTTGGGTCTCCCATGAGAGCGACAGGGACCAGCCGCTGGAGCCATCACCTGCTGCCTCCCAGGGTGCACATGATTAGCATCCTGCTAGAGATGGAAGCAGAGCTTGACCTTAAACACAGGTACTCTACCAGGGGATGCACACATTCCAAGTGACATCTTAGCCACTGTGCCAAATATTGGCCCCTCTGGGCCCTGTGTGATAGCTCAGTGGCTAAATCCTTGCCTTGAACATGCCAGGGTCCCATATGGGCACTGGTTCATGTCCTGGCTGCTCTACTTCCCATTCTGCCACCTGCTTGTGGCCTTGGGAAAGCAGTAGAGGATAGCTCAAAGCCTTGGGACCCAGCACCCATGTGGGGGACCTGGAAGAATATCCTGACTTCAGATTGGCTCAGCTCCAGCCATTGTGACCACTTTGGAAGTGAACTAGCAGGTGGAAGATCTTTCTCTCTGTCTCTCCTTTGCTCTATAAATCTACCCTTTCCAGTGAAAATAATTTTAAAAAATCAATCTCTCTAAAAATTTCTAAGTCAAGACTCCCTTGGATTCCATCTCATGTTTTTTTGCCCACACCGTCCACTGGTCTTCCTGCATGCTGAGAGTGAGCATCAGGAAAAGTAGAAGTCAAGGACCTGAGGGAAGGTCACAACTGAAGCCTAAGCTTCTCCTTGCCTGAACACATCCTTGCCTGGTAGTTGCAGGTGCCTCAGCCCCCCACAAACAGCCTGTGTTCCTTCCATTCTCCTGTAGGGAGCCTACTGGAAAAGGGCTCACATGGTCAACAGATTCCAGACAGACACCATTGGTGGATGTGACACGTGTGTCAAAGGGCCTGAGATATACACATACAGCTTAAAATCTCTTCTACCGGTTCCCCAAGTCAAGAAGCCTTTTGTTGATTTTATTTAAGGCTTGGGGCTGGGGTGAGGTGAGGGGGTCCGAATGTGTGTGTGTATGTATTTTGAGAAGTAGACAGTTCCCATCACTGGTTCACTCCCCCTGAATACCCACAATGACTGGGCATGGCAGATGTTGGGAACTGAGAACGCAACCCAGATCTCCCATGGGAATGACAGGAACCCAATTATTTGAGCCATCACCAGGTCCACGAGAGCAAGAAGCTGGGAGGAAGGTATGAACCCTAGGCACCCATGTGGGGCATGGATATCTTAGATGTTATCTTAGCCAATAGATCAAATGTCTCTTGTTGTACAGGGTTTTGATAAAATATCTGGGACCCTGTGTTTTTGTTTTTAAGTAGGAGAAAACAGATGTCCTCACTGGAGTGTGGATGGTCTAAGGGTGTGGTGTGTGAGCCCGGGGCCCTGGAGCCACCATTGGCTAGCTGGGCCCTGCTGCATCCTGTGCTCCTGGTCTATTTTATAAGGAATAAACCGAGGCTCATAGAGTCATCCCATCTCAGATAGGAGCTGGACTCTGGGGTGGACTTCATCGGGCGAGGCAGAATCAGGGTGGACCTTAAGACAAGGAGATGAGAGATTAGTTACTTTGGAGTAGGCACTGTTTTTGCCTTCAGGCAACCTCCCAGATTGGTCAACATAAAACGCTTGTAAGAAAGCCATTGGATATGTGTGTTTAAGGACACTTAGGCATCTCGCCCTGGAATCAGAGACATGCAGGGCGAATCAACAAAGGCATTTGGGGAGAGGGGAATTTAGAACAAAGTATTAAAGAAAGGGCAAAGCATAAGTGGCAGGTCCCTGATCCCTGTCATTAGGAAGAGGCCCAGTGCCTGGGTTACCTCACCTG